TCCCTCGTTAACGGTGCCAGTAACGAGGTGACTGGCCCAATGACACAGATCCTGCCCGAAACAGAGAGCTCGGACAGGCTCCTGGCTCCTTCTCCTGGATCAACGCTGGAGGAGCTAGAGGGGGAACGTGGGGTCCCAGAAGAGAAGAGGAAAGGAAGGAGAGGGGGAGGCGAGCGGAGGCAGGGCCAGGGGACTGGGAAGGAGAGGAAGGAGAGGCGGGAGGGGAGGGAGGATCAAAGACCTGAGCCTGATTTAAACTGATGCGGGGCGGGGGGAACAGGGGCTGGGAGAGAGTTGTCTGGAGGCGGAGAGGATGGTTTACAGGAAAGCAGTGCCAACACCCACATCGTTTCATATCCCGTGACTCATGCTTTAATGTTGGCTTTTAGTGCAATTTAAACCTCTCCAGCGAAGGCCCCCCTTCTACACTCAGGCCTGTCTCCACGCTCCTCCAAGCAGAGGGGAGACAACACCTGCACATTCTGCAAGTTTGTGGAACATTTCTTCTCCCTCCAGGATGCGGCGCGGGAGGCCGCCTCTACCCCCAGCGCTGTCCTCACGGTCTGAGGCCGGCCACAGGAGTCAGGGAGGCACACGGACACGCGCAAACGCGGACACAGGCTTCCGCGGCCCTTGGGCCCACCGTGACTGCTTTGCGAGGCAGCAGAAAGGCGTGCCCTGTGCCGTTGCTGGCACCTGTGCTCTGGATGTGGAAGCTACATGGACAGAATCAAGTCACGTTTGCTGGTGTGCTGGTGTACAGCCAAGGAAACAGAAAATGGGCAGGTTAACCATGCTTAAGTAAAGGGTGTCCCAAAACTCACACAAGAAGTAATTTTGATAGAAAACACAGGTTTATAATTAAAAATTGTAAATTTTTTATTGATTCATAAAGTATACAGTATAGGGTTATGTGTGGAAAAGGATATCAGGTAAATGGCCTCCACGGCTTTGCTGTCACATACGCACGCTTTTGTTGAAATTTCCCATGACCGTTTTGCATAAATGTGGCTGAATTTCATTGATACAGCGCTCAATTTCCTCCTTCAAGGCGTGGGTGGTCGTGGGCTTGTTGGCATAAACTATATGCTATTCCATACATAACCCTATACTGTATTCTTTATGAATCAATAAAAAATTTACAGTTTTTAATTATAAACCTGTGTTTTCTATCAAAATTACTTCTTGCGTGAATTTTGGGACACCGTTAATTATGAGGCGTTTTATGGCTTTAACCATCGCTAATCACAAATGTCTTTGCTATACTTAGAAAATGAATATCGAAAATTAAAACAGCATGTCAGAGCTTGCCGGTACATTTCATCTTCTAGGTCAGATCTCTTCATCTTGCCACTGACCAGCCCATAGACAATGTCACCACAAACCTTTTGGAAGACTTTCTCGTATTTGCCAAGGAGCGTGTGCTAAGCACCGACGGCCCTGATGACGACACACCATCAGCCCGATCTGCTCATTTTCACAGCGAGTCCCACCTCCCCACGGTCTCCTGTCTGGGTAGAGGCTCGGGCTTTTTATGGTTTTTACTGTAATTATCTTAATGGAGAGCAGCGCTGTCTACTACGGTGACCATGTGGCCATTCAAATTAAAATTAATGAAAATTAGCATTTCAGTTCCTGGGTCTCCCTGGGCCCATTGCAAGTGCTCAGCGGCCACATCTGCAGCGCAGCTCGGTGGCGGGGCCCTGGCCAGGCCGAGCGCTGCATTCGCTGCTGCGACCTCCGAGGTTCCTCCAGGATCGTCAAAGGGCACGGACGGCGGCCCTCGGTCTGCCCTACCGTTTGCAGGTGGAACAAATGGCCGTTTCCTTTTGATGTCAGTTCAGGATGTGGGCTGAGAGACCTAAACATGCATGGCCATCTACCAGTCTCAAAGTCTAACTTCTATTTTCGGGGCTCAGTATGTCCTTTACAAGACACAACCTCAGAGTCCTGTTGATGGTGGTCGGCCGCCAATCCAGAGCCAGGAGTAGGGGGGCTGACACTGTGGGCAGGGCCTCCTCTGCCTCACGAGGGGAGGAGGCTGAGATGCCGCCAGCCTGCACGGTTCAGAGCAGAGACTCTAAGTCAGCGTTTCTCAACCTGTGGGTCGCGACCCCTTTGGCGGTGGAACGACCCTTTCGCAGGGATCGCCTAAGACCATCCTGCATATCAGATATTTACATGACGATTCATAACAGTAGCCACATGACAGTTATGAAGTAGCAACGAAAATAATTTTATGGTTGGGTCACAACATGAGGAACTGTGTGGGACGTGGTTACGGTGTTCTGGCCAGGTTCAAGCCTCGGACTAATGACAGGACAGGGTCCTCTCATTGCCACGTGCAAGTCTCAGCTGGAGGGCAGGCCCGCCCAGCACAATCATAGCCAACGGCTGTGGTTGTGAGCTTGAACCTACGGTCCGAACACGTGGCCCCACGTGCCTTGTGCTAGAGTTCAGGTGCATGTCGTTGAGTGGGGTTGAAACTCACGGAAATGCTGTAAACAACGTGATCACACCCCTACTTTGCCTTGTGGCATCCCACCCCCCCTCAGGATCACCTTTGGTCGTGCAGCCACAAATGGCGCGAGACCAGGGACTGAGTTCAGGCCACAGAACTGTATTTAAAGGGCCAGAAGGTTGAGAACCACTGCTCTAAGTGCTTCAGGCCACAGGTCTCCTGCAGGAATAGCCCAACTCACCCCTTAACGGTGCAAAGCTGCAGGCACCCGCACACTCCCGGGCGCCCTGGGCTGTCCCAGGGAGGGGAGGGGGCCAGTACTTTCCTGGGGAAGCACAGCTGCTCAGGAGGCGTGTGCGCGGTCTGACACGAAGACGAGGCCTTTGCCTGACCCGGCGCCCCGACTCTGTCCACACACAGGGAAGGACAGGGGCGTGTGTGTGTGTGTGGTGGGGAGCCCTACTTCCTTCCTTCGATATCAGCGGTTCTCAACCTGTGGGTCGCGACCCCTTTGGCGGTCGAACGACCCTTTCACAGGGGTCGCCTAAGACCATCCTGCAGATCAGATATTTACATGACGATTCATAACAGTAGCAACATTACAGTTAGGAAGTAGCAACGAAAATAATTTTATGGTTGGGAGCTCCCGGCAGGTCACAACATAAGGAGCTGTATTTAAAGGGCCAGAAGGTTGAGAACCACTGCTCTATATGCAAGACCCCTTCCTTGAAATGCACCCCAAAGAAGAGTCGCGGGCTCCTAGCAGGTACCGGAGGGCCCCCACAGTGCACGTGCCAACGAAGAGAGAGGAATATCAAGCCTGTGCTTCATCACCTCACCGTCCCGCTTCCAGGATTAAAACAGCACAACTGAAAAGCCTTTAGCACAACTTTAGTAGAGCAAGGTCCATGGTCCCGGGATAAGAGGTTTCTTTACACGCACGCCGCTCTCCCACCCGCAGCAGCAAATGCACTGCCTCCTCTTTCTCTGATGCCTCAGACCGCTGCATCAGTGCCGCAGTCAGCGGTCGCTTAAAGGAATTAATGACGCCGGAAAATGGAGAGCAGGTTACTGCATCAGTACCGCAGTGAGCGGTCGCTTAAAAGAATTAATGACGCCGGAAAATGGAGAGCAGGTTACGTCCCTCCAGACTGTTGGATTAGCAGAGATACAGCAAAATGATTCCTTATATGTTGTTGTCAAGATGAATTTTTTCTAGTCTCGTGACATTTCTAAAAGTTACTCACAGGATTATTTGTGGTCAAAACACCTACACATTCTTTTTATTGATGTGATTTTTATGTCCTTTAATTACTTAAAAGACCAAAACCATTCACTTTTTATAAAGAAATGTGGCATACTCTTTCTCATATTTAGGAACCTCCACTGTGTTATCTTGTGTAAAAAAGTAGACAAACAAACATAATCAAATATAAACAAACCCCAAACCACGGTCAAGTGTTGGGAATATGTACTTACCAGTATGCTACAACTAAAATATGCACATTTCCACCTAACTAATTTTGCATGTTAATAGAGATGATTAAAAACATGGTAATAATGTCCTTCATCATCCTAAAAAATGTGTGACAAAATTCAACAAGGACCCCTTCAGATTTCTCTTGCCAAATAATTTGTAACAATTCCAAGTTTAATAACTGATTACCAGATGTCTGCTCAAGGTTTAGAAATGTTTGATAATTATATGAAAACACATACAGACATACTAGAAATAAGGCAAACAATCCGTTTTGTTTTTCCATTAAAAAAGGAAGAAGTTAATACCAATGAGCCTTTCTAAGATAATTTGATGAATTCCTCAACTCGATCATTTTACCTATTAGCATAAACGCATTTGTTACTAATTACAAACAATTCCTGCGTTCACCCTCAGACACTACCGTGGGCTTTTCAGTTAGATGGGTCAGTCGCTCACTTTACATGACATTTGGCAAAACCCTTTTATGTTCCTTACCCCAACGTGACACACACACACACCTGACCACGCTTTTCTGGTTCCAGCCGAGAAGCCCTTCTGGCTGCTAAATCCCACCCAAAGCAAAGCCGTTGGTAACAAAAATAGTCACCGAGCGGACGCCGGTGAGAGATGGCCATTCCTGTTCAGATTAAATGGAACAGCTCCCGGTGAAGAGATGGACGAGCTTTTACCAATAACCCCGGCGAGCCGTTGCGAGAGACGCGGCCGCATTAGACTGAGCCACTAGGCAATCCATCTATTCTGCAGCCAATTAACCTTTTGTCAAAAAAGTGTCGGTGCTG